GATTTTTACGCTACATAAATAAACAAACTTCTCGTTGGCAAAAATGTGTTGATTGTAATGGTTCTTATTTTGATTAATAAAGATATGTTTGAGCCTAGTTACAATGAATTTAAAATTCACGGTCCTAAACCACAATTACTTTTGCACCAACCTATATTATCCATCAAATGTTTATATATTCTGTCCCTTGTGTGCGATAGTAATCACCTGATGGTGAGACATGCCCTCTAACATCTTGTAAAGACAAATAATCAGCAAAATAAATGCAAATGTGTAACTGAGACACAAGGCTAATTTTGGAAATTAAAATAAGATTCTTGAAATTTTAAAATGCAATTGAAGAAAGATAAATGTGAGAAAAGTTTCCAGAACATAGAGAAGAAAGACAAAGATATGAAAAAAGAAAAAAGAAATGAAAACTAAATTCAATGAAAGATAAATTTAGACAATCCAAATCCATTTAGTTGAAATTTTTTTAAAAAGCAAGGAAAATAATAGATAGAAATTATCAGGGAAGAGAGAAGAATGTTCTCACAGATTGTGGGTTCTACGGCTGCGCTGAATGCTAAACAGTAAGAATGAAAAAATAAAAAGGATTCACACACCTGACTTGTAAAACTTATAGAACTCCAGAAAACCAGGAGGAAGAGATGTTCCTGAGAGCTGTTTAGAGAGAAAACCCACATTTCTAAGGAAAATGGGAATGAGACTGGCCTCAGCAATGGGGTGGAATTGTACAGTTACACACACATTATAGAGTATCAGCAGTGCCTTCCAGTATTGGTTAGAACTATTTTCTACTTAGTGGAATATGTTAGGTTATTAAGTAGGAAATAATCTGATTTCCTTAAGTACTAAGTTTGACATTTCACATCTCTGACATGTCACTCAGACACTTCTTGTTTTATGCTTATTGTGAAGGTACATCCTCATTCTTTCAAACACACAGTTTGGCTTGTGATTGTCTTTCAACTTATTTTAGAGAAATTTTTGTAGAAGTCAAAAATAAGTCAAAAATTCATGTTGTTTTCTAATATGAGTTCTGTTCTGTTGCGGAACCAATACAGTGCAGACAGCTCGAGATATGAAAAGGGTGTTTGGGAAGGATGTGGCTAATGAACGCGCACAGTATGTTGATGGTTTGAGAAGTTCCGTTCTGGTGATTTTGCTCTTGAAAATGAGCCATGAGAGTAACCTGAGACCAAGGTGGATAATGATGAGCTGAAAGCTGTAGCAGAAGCAAATCCATCTCAACCTACCTGTGAACCAGCAGCAAGGTTTGATGTTACTATTCCAAAGTATTGGACCATTTGAAACAAATGGGCACGGTAAAGAAGCTGGATAGATGGGTGAAGTATGAATTAAAGGAGCGTCAGAACAGAAATGGTCTCTAAGCTTACCTTTCTTCGCTATCATGACATAAATGTGAACCATCTCTATACTGTATTGTGACTTGTGATGAAAAATGGATTCTTTTTGACAATTGCAAGAGTTTGGCACGATAGTTAGATAAAGACGAAGTGCCAAAACACAGTCCAAAACTGACTATTCATCAAAAAAAGCAAATGGTGTCTGTTTGGTGGTCCAGCGCTGGTATTACCCCACTACAGCATCATGAAACCTGGTCAGCTGATTACAGCAGATGTCTGTTGCAGCCAATCAAACAAAATTATGAGGATGCTTGAGATTAAGCAGCCAAGATTGGTCAATAGAGACTGACCAATCCTTTTGCAAGACAATGGTCAACCACATGTTGCACAAACAATGCTGCTCAAACAACAGAGGCTGGACTTTGGACTTGGACGCTCTGTCACCCACCATATTCACCAGACCTTGCACCAACTGACTACTACTTCTTCCAGGACACTCGTTAATGCATATTTTTCAAAATCAAATAAACAGAAATAAGTTAGGTCTGAGACCTTGTTTTCGTGAAATAAATTTTTGAGGGAATTTCTGCCACTGACTTTAAATTTTTTTAATGAAATAACCTAGGAACCAAGAAAGAGCAACTCTGTTAGGTTCTCAGTCCCAGCTGTACTGGGACCTAAGCTCCGTGGTGGCTGCAGAGGTCCCAGGCAAGGGAGGCACTCCACTCTGTGAGGTGTCACACCTGCTCTGTTCTGGAGTCGCAGCTGCCCTCTGGTTTAAACAGCCTGAGCTGGCAGACTTTGGACAGAGAATTTGCTCCTTCTTGTCGTTCTCTATTCTTCCACTTGTTCTCTTATGGATCGTTGCCTAAGATAGTTGTACTGTTAATGAAACCCACAAATAAATACGCTCTGTATAACAACTTTAATAAATAGGAACCTCAAATCCAACTTAATTTATTCTATGAATATGAGTTGTACCATAATGAATAATTTGCTTATCACTTATTAATACATAATTTGTTTCATTTTTAAATATTATTAGTTATTTATATGTGTTTTTCTTGAAAATATTACTAAAATTCAGTTAAATATTAGCTGATTGCAAAATACTTCCTTTTATAAAAAGTTTTATAAAAGAATTTACTAAAAAAAAAGCAAACATACTAAATATGTTGCAGCATTAAAAAGGAACATGTTGTCAATGTATTAACTTATTTAAAATTTTTATTTTATAGATTCTTATTCTCATTTATTGCTTTTTTTGGGGACAAATTTAATGATGGCCATGAAATTTCTGTTTTGCCCAGACATACATTTTTGTATTCTTTCTTTCTGTTCTTTCATACTTTCTTTTTTCTTTACTCCCCAAACAAATTACTTTTTCTACATATTTATGGTCGTAACTGTGTTGATCCTAACTTCTCTCTATTCTTTCTTGTAAACTTGCTTTGAATTTACGTAGTAATATCTTATCTATCTTGTTTTATACTGAGTTACTCAAGTCCAGTGGAGTGCCAGAGTCAACTCTCGATAAATGTTGGTTGAGTTAACTGGTGCATTTGTATCTAGGGCGCCAGAGTTTTCTGTGTATAACTTTTTCTGCTTGTTGAAATCATCACATTTATAAGTGAGAAACTGAAAATCAGATGCATTATGTATATTGATAAATTGGTATATAGTGATAATATCACTACCTACTGCCGCTTATTGAGCACTTAATGATAAGCTAGACACTTTTGATATATTATCTAATTTAAGCATTGAAAATTCTAGAAAATTAATGCTTATTAAACACAGTGCCCAAGTAATGACATAGTAAGTGGTAGTCCTATAATAACCCAATTCTCTCTGATTTTAATTTATTTCACCATTGAACATTTTCCTTGTTGGTCACTTTGATAGTATCATCTGATCAATCAGAATCAGCATCCTCCTTCAAAGGCCAGTGGAAAGATATTCTTGTTCTTTTTCTGATTTTCTTTCTTTTCTTTTCTTTTTTTCCCCCAACAAAGTCATATTAACCAACCTCTAGGTAAGGCATGTAAGAGCCAAAGACAACAAATGGTCTCTGCTCTGGAGTCACTGGCAGTTCGGAGGATTGTGCCAAAAGACAAAGGGTTCGTGGTAATGTTTTAGAGAAATTATCATAACCACAGGAAGGGATAGGGAGAAGTTCTTTTTTTAAAACTGCAAAGTAGAAAAGGAAAAAGACAAATCTGGTATAACTCCTTTCTCTTTCAGGGGACTTAAGATTTGTAATCTTCTGTGGTCTATATCATTATGTTCTTACAAGACATACATGTTCAAATACTTATTAACTATCTGTGTGAATGAAATTATTCATTGGGGACAATTAAATACAGGAAGAAAGATTTAAGGCTCAGCCCCTAATGGTCCACAGAAGTGGACAAGATATGTTCCTTTTCAGGTCAAAGGAACGAATTGCTGAGTTCTGCGGAAAATGACTCTTTAATGACTCCTTGCCTTTCTTAATTAACTCAACGGTCTGACCCCGTGTTGATCAAATGAGGGATCCCCAAGAAAGCAGTGGTAGCACTTCAGTGTTGGTTATTGAGCCAGGCTGGGTTGCTGACGTGTCCGTTTTATTGCACAGGTACCAAGGGCGCCATTGCCGAGCATGCCCAGCCTCTACTTTCTCACGTGTCCTGCTGAGGCCTAAAACACCCCCGAGACATTTAGTCCTATTGAACATGAGAACAAGAAGCACAGGATCCTCTGGGAAAAGTGAACTGTTCTGAGTAAATACCATGCAGACTGTTTGGGGCCCATCCACTACCACCCAAGACTCCTCTGGGACCTCATGGCAGGACTCACCGTCCTGCCCAAATCTCAGCCATTTAGGTTCCTCCTGGGAATGTGTCTGAACAGGCTGCTCTGTTGCCAGGAGCACTAGATTCGCTACCCAGACATTTCAGTTTCATCATTCTCCCCCTGACTAACTGGGAAGCTTTGAACAAATATTTCACGCTCTCTGAGCATCATTTTTTTTCATTCACAATATTAGCATAAAATGTGATTGATGGCTAAATGCCTTAATAAGTAAGAAAGTGTTTTGTGAAGTCTTCTAGCTCTGCAAACTTTAAGGAGATCAACCTAGGCTTATAGCCCTGAAGTTGCTGGCGAAGTCACAGAATAAATAAGGGTCACAATGCGAATTCTGGTTTGGAACTATCCTGGGATCCTGCTGTGCAGGCATTTCTACCCGGGATCTAAGAGGCCGGTCCACGTGAGGCTGCCTGCAGGGCGACTGGCCCGTGGAACCCAGAACTCACACCCCCTGGGCAGAGCAGGGTATCTGGCAGCCCACAGGGCTGATGGAGCTGGCAGGGAGCAAGACTCTTCAGATGGGCTTGTTTCATACAAGATGCCTGAGCAGGACCTGGAGGGCCCGTTTCTCAGAGTCAGAGGGCGGGCTGCCTCCAGCGAGGAGGGCAAGCTGGAAGGGAACGCACTGCCATGGACATGCAAGAGCACACATGGTCCCTGGAAGAAGCCAGAAGCCAGAGTGTCTGTGTTGACTGTTGCAAAGAGGGTGCCCTGTTCATGTTTCTTCTTAGTGCTTTAATGAATCAGCAGGTGCTTTATACTGCTTTTCATGTTTTGCAGATGGAGAAATCGAGGCACAGAGAAATTAAGTGACTTTGCCACAGTCACAAGCTGGGGAGGACCAGGATTAGGACTTAGCGAGAGCCCCTGACTCTGGGCCTGCGTCCTCCCAGGAGTCACGCTGCCTCCGTCCTCAGGAGAGAAGATTCCCTGCAAGGTAAACGGCAACCTCATCTCCACTCCTGGCTGTGCGCCCTGTGTGCGTGCTGGGTGTCCGTCCCAGACCACGCTGTCCACAGGCTAACTTCCCCATGCAGCCTCATCCTCTGCCTCCAACCTCTTCCATCCAGTTCTTCTATGCCCTTGCTCCAGTCTTCACCTTCTCTTTTTCTCCTCTGTCACCTCTTCTTCTCCAATGGCCGGATTGCCCCTAGCCTGGGATTTAAAAACATAGAGAAGGAAGCTTCTGCCCTACCTCCTTGAGCCCTTCACTTTCCCGACCTTTCAGGCAGGCTTGGGCAGGGCACACCAGACTGACTGCCCAGCCTTCCTCCTAGGCCTTCCTCTCTGTAAGCGAGCACCAAAGCAGGCAGTGTTGTGGCAGAGGGCAGCTAAGCCTCAGGTAGTCCCACGTCCCATCGCCCACAGATGGAGCCTCTGTGCCTGAGCCCCACACAGGATGCTGTCACCTGTGCCTGGCCACCCAGGTACAGTCAGCGTAAGGCCACCAACATGCTTAATTCAGTTTCTCCCTCTAAAAGCTCGTGGTCACAGCCTGAAGCACCTTCTTTTTCCCCTCCACCCCTTCTAGAACTTTGTCTTCTCTTCTGTCACATGTAGTTTCTTTAGGTTATCCTCTGACCATTTAGGACATTCTTCTACCAATGCATTTTTTCTTCAGTTCCTGCCCTCCGAAAGCTCCTTGAAGCAAGTGTGTGTCTTACCTGGTGGCATACTTCTCTCATGGAATAGGTCACACTGGCTGTGAGAGGTGTCCGGTGCCACCAGCGTGGTGATCCCATCCCGCCTACTGCCCCACAGGGCGGGAGCAGCTACCGTGCAGCGCAGGGCTGACCATGTCCCCCTCACAGGGCGGGAGCAGCCACCGTGCAGCGCAGGGCTGACCATGTCCCCCTCACACGTGCAGAGTCTTTGCAGTGTGCACAGTGCTCCCGTGTGCTGGAGCACACCAACTGACCTTCACACTGAGCACCTGGAGAAACATGTCGCTTACAGAGTCTTTGTGTAGGTGCTAAAGTCAAAGCCCTAAAGGTAAAGAGACACAGTGTGTGGAAAAAAATAACTGACCTCCATTTACTTAACTTCCAAGCCCAGCCCCTCTCTCTAAAATTCACATTTCTCATTTAAAAATTTTTGTAGTATTTTCATTTCTGTGCATTTCCTGTGCCGTAGTGTGTTTGCTCTCCCTGAACACACAGAACCACAGATCACACGTTCTGCCACTTGTAGACTTCTCTAACTTCTCTGTTCCTTATTCTTTCAGTTTTTTCATCCTCCTATAAAGTAAATACAACAATTTTTGAAAAAACAAGTAGATTTAAAATATATATAAAAACTAGAAAATCACTATGATAATTTCAAATACTTATGTAAATGGGCAGTTCTATTATTTATCTATGGTAAATCATATTTGAATTTTTAATTTTAATTTCTTACCACTTTATCAAAATTGAAATTAGGGAGAAGATAAAAATGCTGAATATAGACCAGATATAACAGATCATCTCATGAATACAAAAATTATTTACTACTTTTTATTAAGAACAGTTTTGTAGTCACATTTGTGGTTTTCATAGCTATCAAAACATGCATTCAGTCTCTATTTTCACTTCCGCCTTCACGGAAGAGGTCTGGCTGTGGCCTCGTCCTGGCCGCGGCGACGCTCTCACTGTTCGGCGCCCTCTGGCTCCTTCAGTGGATGACATAAAGGAGCCAGGCAGAGGGAGCAGGAATGCTGCGCAGACGCCAGTCTGGACTGTTAGGCCAGAGAATTCCATGGTGGGAAGGGAAGGACATATCCCAGCGTCCACGTCCAGGGTCTGCAGGGAGGCCGCCTTGGGGCAGTGCGTCATGGGGACTCAGCAACGCTCCGTCTCAGGAGGCCAAGGCAGGAGCTCGTGGAGTCCAGGCAGCTGGAAGGAAACTGCAAGAAAAAAAAGACAGCAACCAAAAGTGGAATGTGATAAATTATTTGATAGGGAGAAAGAGAAAAGAAGTAAGTCAAATGTGAGTTTAAGGCTTCAGAAGGGAAGAGCAATCGTTTCATTTATTCAGACACAGCCAGTGAGGAGTTCTGGGCCCGTGCTGGGCCGGCACAAGACCCTCCTCACAAGGTCTCCCGAGGAGAGGGAAACCTTCCTCCCACCACACAGGAACCTCTAGTGAAGTTTGCAAAGCACTGTGGGAGGGTGGGGAGGGCGGGCACTGCGGTGTGGCAGAGCTGGCAGGGTCGGGCGGGGGCCTACACTGCGACACTCAGGGGTGGCTAGTGTATTCAGGGAGGGGCTGGGACAGAGGCGCTGGTGTGCGCCCACCGTCACAGAATGCGAGAGTCAGAAATGTCCTCCGAGAGGTGAGAGGACCTGGGACCTAGGTCTGAGGCCAGTGCTGTAAACCTGGGAGATAGTGATTTGCGGGAGAGGTCAACAGAATCAGCGCCCTGCTGAGGATGAGAATGCACATGGCTCTGGGCCTTTGGGAAGTGGGGCATGGTGTCCTTTGAAAGAAGGATTTTAGATATCCAGCAGGCTGCAGACTTCATGCGGGAGGGGCAGTGATGGGTGGGAGAGGGCAGTGCTGGATGCAGGGGGTAGGGAGGGGCAGTGCTGGGTGCAACGGGGCAGGATACAGGGGCCCAAGCCCAAGGGATAGCAGGAGAGGGCCAGTGCCAGGGACAGAGGGACATGCAGGAGAGAAGGGCAGGCTGGAGAGCAGGTCCTCGAGAGTCACCTTCAGAGAAATGGTCTAGTGAGACCCTCCTGTAGCCAGTAGCAGGGGTGATGACTGAGCATGGGTGGGGTCTGGGTGTGGACGTGGTTCTGATCTCCCCCATCCAGGCACCCCAGGGCCAGTGGCTCGCCCTCCTTGAGTCTCTGTGTGAAAAGAGAGACATTGTCGCCCATTGTCGCTGCAGGGCAATGAGGCAGCACACGGATGGAGCTGGCTGGCACCCAGGCACTGTCAGGCCCAATCCTTGACTGGGAGCTGGGGCCAGGATTCCTGACAGCAAGAAGCATTTTGAACAGCAATTTCTCACTGGGATACAGGCTGGGAGGGAAGCCAAATGAGAGACAGAGGTCAGATAAGCTGAGGGGCTCAGATGGCTCCACTGCCCTTTATTAGGAGGGGAGGAGAGCGGAGGCTCTCTCAAGGCTCTTATGGAGGGCGGGTCTCATGGCCCCCCGGGGAGACTGAGCATAGACTGCACAGGAGACTGACCCGCAGAGCCCCCCGTAAGGCTGCAGGGCAGAGCTGTGCTCTCCATTCCAGGCTGTGCCAGGGCAGCATGCGTGGGGCGGGCGTCAGCCTCGCCTCCTTACAGGATTTGGCATAGCCTGGGGCACAGCATAGGGTGCCCAGGCTCTGGATTGGTGGGTCTCTTCCAAAGCCTGCTGAGCACACAGCAGCACTCTCCACTGGCGTGGAACTGCCATTCTTTTCTCCAGAACACTTTCCAAAGCCAATCCCTTCTTTAGTTTTTCAACATCCCTAGTGTTTGTAATTAGGACAGCTGAGGCCCACTGAGGTTGGACAACTTGCCTAAGATTACACAGCCAAGGAGTGACAAAGGTGGTATGGCCCTGGATATGAGCTCCACGTGGCGTGGGCAGCCACGCCTTCCATAGCACCTGCAGTAGTTTTGCATTTTGGCAGTAGTTCATTTTGTCCTGTGTTGTAACCTGGCATTTGAGCGTCCGTCTGCTTCAGTGATTACCCCTGACTCGAGGGTCCCTTACTTGAAAGAAAGTGCAACACATAGAGGGCCCAATGTAATGGTGAGGTAGAAAGGCCTTTCCCTCAAAGCAGGAGCTGGCGGCAGCCATTCGTGAGTCTGTAAGTAGCTGCAATGGGGGGAGGGTCATTGGTGCTGCAGAGGGGAGCGTGAGCTCAGGCAGGACGAGTGCCCCCACCCCTGCACCCTCCAGCAGAGTGGGGCTTCCTAGACCAGCATGTCTGCCCTGGACCACACCATCCACCCTGCAGGAAATTGATTTTAGAGGTGCCCAAAGGCCTGAGATTAATGCTTTTTGTTTAAGACCATACTTGTCTGAAAAAGTATCAACTTCATGTCACTAAAATGATCCTAGCCTTTGTTTTTTGAATCTTCATTCTTTAATGAATATTTTTGCAGTGACCCTTTCATGGATAGGAATATTTTATTCTAGGAAATATTTCCCTTTTTATTTTACTAATTTTCTTTCCTGTGTACAGCATCTGTGATTTTTTTAAAAATTTCAGTGGATTTGGGGGCACAGTGTTTTTGTGACATGGAAAAATTATATCGTGCTGAAGTTGGGGCTTTCAGCTCACCCATCACCAGAATAGTGCACATTGTGCCGACAGGTAGGACTTCATCCTCTTCATGGCTTCCAAGGGGCATCGCGCCACTTTGTGACTAGATGCACGCCTCATCTGGCTCCCGCTCGTAAGCGAGAACACCTGGTATCTCTCTTGCCATTCCTGAGATACTGCACTTAGGATAATGGCTTCTGATTCCATCACAGTTGCTGTGAAAGACATCATTTCATTCCCTTCTATGGCTGCGTAGTACTTCCATGATGTATACACCACATTTTCTTCATCCAGTCATCAGTTCATGGGCACTTGGGTTGATTCCATATCTTTTCAATTGTGAATTGTGCTGCAATAAGCATTTGGGTGCTGATATCTTTTTTATTAAATAGCTTCTTTTCCATTGGGTAAATACCCAGTAACAGGGTTGCTGGATCAAATGGTAGGTCAACTTTTAGTTCTTTGAGGAAGCTCCATCCATACTGTTTTCCATGGAAGTTGTACTAATTTGCATTCTCACCAACAGTGTCTAGGTGTCCCTTTTTTATTACTGCATCCACACCATTGCCTATTGTTTGTTGACTGTTTAATAATCACCATTCTGACAGGCATAAGGTGGTATCTCATTGTGATTTTAATTTGCATTTCTCTGAAGATTAGTGATGTTGAGCATTTTTTCATATG